TTTTAACAAAAAAAAAGTACTTTTTAAAAAGTACAATGTATGAGTCCAACTGATGAGCTAGAAATTAACGTTTGACAAAGGCAAATCTTTGTTACAAAGTCAGATTCCCTTTTTTGGTTTTACAGCTTTATTCTTTTGTGGCCAGTGTTTTGTAGTTCTAACCTTAAATTTGATATTCCACTTCTGTAGAGTTTACATTGCTGCTTTGTAATTTCCAAATTAGCACCTTTAAAAAGCAAAGTAGAATGAAAATAATCACAATTTCAACTGTACAATGATTTTATTGGTATGTTCTATGTGGGGTTGGGGGAAGAAAATGGAATGAGCATGTCCGGTGTGCTATTTCCAGCATTTTTTGTTTTCCTCAATGGCATGTTCATCAAGTGATGGCATAGGATGTAGCCCAGTGGGGCAAGTAAAGGAAGCAAACAGAAAACCGATTTAAATTTAGCAACAATAAAGTATATCTTTAAAACTTTTTGAATAATGGCTCTGATGAAAACAGCTCTATGAAAACCAAATCATCTTGAATGAAGATGAGAGATGGATGTTTACAGTTTGTTTCATAGTGGATACTTGAATTTATCAAGCTGACTTTCAGCACTAGGAAATGGAAAACATTTTTCTGGCTAGGCCATTTTGTCAATAGTAGCACTGGTTCAGACATAGGGCAGCCAGGTGCAGAACGAAGTTCTCATTTCTGTGCAGCAAATTGTCTGAAACTCAGCTTGAATATTCAACTCGGCACCCCCTACTGGCAAGGACTTTGTTTTCTGTTTCCAACAAATACTTATCTGAACTCGTTCTGAGTGAGATTGCTAACTTAATGGCATCATATCCAAAAACTCTTGGTCACTGTGGAAATTGTTACATTTCTATTTGCCTTGTGAAAGGTTAACTTGCAAGCATTAAATTCTAAGTGAAAATAACTAGTGTATTAATAGGCTAGAGTGAGCTTTGTTTTAGTCATCTGTAAATAATTTAATGCCTCAAGAAAATGAGTTATTGCAGTGAGTTTTTTAAAATCTTAATTGACGTGTAAATTGCATAATAAATAAAAATACAAGCACTTTTGAAACAGTTGCTGAAATGGTTATGTTTTGATGTATGTCCTATATATTCAGACTAGAATAAGGCTAATCTAAATACAGTATTGTACACCGAAATGCAGCCCTATGGCGAGCATTCAGTTTAACGGAAATGATGCAGACTCTCTTTATTTTGTTAAGAGGCAGCAAATCTGATTGTGTGTTGCACAGAGTTAGCAGTTTTAGTTTTGAGACCTGAGTAAGATCTGGACGATAAATCCAGGCTTGGTTGGGCAGATGTGGCATAAAATGTTCATGCCACATAAGTGCTGGGCACTGAATATCTTCAACAAAAGAGAATCTAACCATCGCCCCGTGACATTCAATGGCATTTACAATCCCCCACTATCAACATGTTGGGGTTTACCATCGACCAGAAGCTGATCCAAACCGCCAAACAAATATTGTGGCTACAAGAACAGTTCAGAGGCTAGGAGTTCTGTGGTAAGTAACTTGACTTCTTTCTCCCCAGTGCCTGTCCATAAATATAAGGCACAAATCGGGAGTCTGGAATAGTCGGTACTTGCCAGGATGAGTGCAACCTCTGAAGGACAAGGAAACAGATGCATGGGGACACCACCAGCTACAAGTTCCCCTCCAAGCCACATACCATTCTGACTTGGAACTACATCGCCATTGCTTCACTGTCGCTGGATGAAACATCCTGGAACCCCCCCCTCCCTAACAGTACTGTGAGTGTACTTTACACCCCAAGGACTGCAGTGGTTCAAGAGAGTGACTCTCCACCCCCTTCTCTAGGCACTTAAGGGTGGGCATTAATCACTGGCTTAGCAAGTGACACACATCCTGTGAACGTTTTTTTTAAACTGATAACTTTGAAGGCAAGACAATTTATTTTTTGGTGTGGAAACCTGACCACTCTCTGTATAGCACTGAGGTCACATTGTTAGGTTGTGGCTTTTAGTTATGTGCAACTGTATGTGATCCAGGATGTCAGTGACAGATTGAGAAATGATCCTGTGGTACTCTTCAAGTGTCATTTTATTTGTGCATTGTCATGAATGCTGTAGGTGAATTTTAAAATAGGTGCGTAATTGAAGTTTGGTTCTAACTATTTGACACACTTCGAGTCATCGTCATACAGCACAGAAACCGACCCTTTGGTCTAACTCATCCATGCCGACCAAGTTTCCCAAACTAAACTAGTCTCACTTCCCTGCATTCAGCCCATGTTCTCTCTAAACCTTTCTTATTAAAGTAACTGTCTAAATGTCTTCCAAATGTAACTGTACCTGTATCCGCCACTTCCTGTGGCGTTTCATTCTGCACATGAACCACCCTCCGTGTGACAAAGATGCCCTTCAGGTTTCTTTTACATCTTTCTCTTCTCACCTGAAAAATATACCCCCTAATTTTGAACTCCCCCCACCCTGGGGAAAAGATCGTTGCTATTCACCTTATCTGTGCCCCTCATGATTTTATAAATCTCGAAAAGGTCATCCCTCAACCTCGGACGCTCCAGTGAAAAAAGTCCCAGCCTGTCCTTACAACTCAAACTCGCCAGTTCTGGCAACATCTTGGTAAATCTTCTTTTTGAACCCTCTCCAATTTAAGAAAGTACTAATGGTGAAATGAAATTAACCTGATTTCAGTTATTTTAAGTTGTGGATAAAGTTGGTCTCTTACTGCGAGGCAATGGCCTAGTGCTGTTAGTGCTAGACTATTAATCCAGAGACTTGGGTAATGTTCTGGCAACCTGGGTTCAAACCCTACCATGACTGACAGTGGAGTTTCAGTTCAATTACAGTCTGAAATTAATGGGCCCTCTCGTGGCTCAGGAGTAGTATCACTACCCCTGGACTGAGAGACCCCAATTCAATCCCAACTGCTTCAGAGGTGTGTAATAATACCTCTGATTAGGTCAATTAGAAAAATAGGTTAAATTAAGAAAAGATAAAGTTGACCTGTTATTTGAATGAAGCTGATCTATTGAGAATTACTTTATCAATATGAGGGCTAAGTGCGATGTAATCTACACCTTCCTGTTTGGAATGAGCCTTGGGCCTAAAGAGGGCCTACTGATGTTTGTTTATACTGATTTCCTGACTCTTCTCTATAGAACTAGGTTGCTTGAGAAGTTTAACAGAAAATACATGAATCATTTATGAAGTAGGCCAATTCATTTCATCTTTTCCTGTTAGATTTCTTGTCTGTTGTGACAGTTTTATTTACCTTGGATGTGGGGCAGTTACTCGAGTCAGACACCTGAACACTAGTTTTAGGTTTTTAAACTTGACATGATTGACATTTCTGTCCTAAAAGCAACTGAGGTTTTGGTTAGAAATGATCAGTTTTCACTTGTGCTTTAGTTCATGTCATTTCCAACTATTGCACACCACAATAACAAGCTGGAATTGCATATTGATTAGAGCTTTTCAGTGTCTCTTGATGATTTATTATGTTGGATATTAACAGGTTAATATACTTGTGAAAATAAAATAGTAAATTGTGTTTTAGTCTTATAGCTTTGGCCCTGATGATGTTTGATTTCCATTCACATCTCCGAGGTTGACTCCTTGTGAGATGCTTTTGCAGTCTCCAACCTGCCTTTGGTGGTGCCTACCTCTCCCAGTGGGCCATCAAAGGTCTGGAGTTACTGGTCCTTTGGGCCTGCAGAATTGGGAGGCCACAAGGACTGCAAGGGCTGAAGCAGCCTATTAGGAGACAAAACCCAGAAGGCTGCAATTTCGATCATCCTGTCTTTGGCATCAGTGACCAGAAAATACAGCCTACGGTCTCTAAATCACCTGCTATACTCTACTGGAAACTGGTGTTTTGCTCAGCTTTTGTTACATGAGTACAATATGCCACTAATGACGTTCTGTAGTACAATGATTTAGCTGTGAACATTGAGCACTTAAGTTATGGATAGAAGGGAAGGGAAGAGAATCAAATTTCTTATCTTTTGCTCTTAATGCTCTCAGTATACTTTATCACAATTGGCTAACTGGAAAAATTGGTGCTGTTATTCTGATTAATTACAAATGTGCAGGTTTTCATTCCTTTTTTGTAGGGGCTGTAGAATGCTGATTTCAGCTACAATTTCAATGTTTCAAAGCAGCATTCAGTGTATCAGTGCAAGCCATTAATTGACTTGCATTCAGAAAATTTTATAGTTTCCAATTATTTTCAAATATTTTTGTATCTTATCCTCTCTGAAGCAAATTTATTTCACGCCAGTTAAACACAGAGACACTACGCACTTGTAAAATATCACCCAAAGCTCCATTCAGCATTCCAGAACTTGAGAAAGAATGTGAAATATACAGTTGCTAATTCAGAAATGTATAATACTGTTGATGAATCCACTGTGTAGTGTGAAGTAACTAATCAACAGCTGTTGGATTGCAAATGTTTGAGAGTGGCTTATGCAGAAATTATGAAAGGCTGTATTGAAAGTGCTTCACAGATATAAGAAACTCTGCAATGTGCATTCAGTTTGACCATACATATTTAAAACCTTTTTAAGTCAATTCCATGATATGTTGAAAAGCAAATATCAATGTGTACGTTTGTTATTTTGTTAGCAATACATACCTGTTTCCAATGAAGTGTGTACCTTCTACTGTAATTGTAGTGCAAATAATTTAATTCCATTATTTAAAAAGATCCCAATCCCAAGTACAGTTTGAGTAGCACTGTGGTTTTGCAGTGGATGTAGTTGAGCTCTCAAAAGATTGCTTGCTGATTTTAATAAGGCTTTGATTCTTTGCAATTATTCAAAAATTAATAACAGTGCAATAATAATAGCAAAAATCAAAGCTGTTTAAAGTAACTTAACAAGACACTCGTATAAAGCTTGAAAAATGTGCTCTCCTTTGGATTTTCTAACTAAAAAAATTATCCATAATTACAATTGTATGATTTTTAAATTAAACTATGGTAGTGACCATGTATTCTAAACCAAATCCAGTGTGGTACCATGTGAGACCACAGAAAAATAACCAGGATGAAAAATGTAGGTTGCTCAGTCTATGTGTTGACAGTTAAGCATATATACTGCAAGGAGAAAACAAATGTGCAGCCAATTATCATAGATGTGATGTCGCACTATTGAAATGCATTCAAGCTCCCTTTCTAAGCAACACCGTGTATAGGGACCTTATTTTTTCTAACCCACTGTCTAGTCTGTGTTTTTTTTTTCAATAATGCAATAAAAAAAAATTAACGAAACTTGAACTAGCATATGCTCTAAGAACAGCTTTGTTTAATGGTACTATTGTGACCTTTAATAGATCTCCTGCCTCCGCAGTTTCTCTCCCAGTTGGTCATAAATATGGAAGATTCTTGTCTTTTTATTTAAAAGACACAAAGAATCATGCATGTTTGACCACCATTTTCACTGCAATTTTGCATGTATTTCATGTCCTATTCTATTCAGTCAGATGTATTGGACACTTTTTCAGGAACACTGTTTTCTTGGGGACAGGTTATGTTAACTTAGGACAATGCTTGGGAAAACATGGGTGTATAGTCACCCTATGCAATGGAATAGGACTATCTTCCTTTTGCTGTTGCTGTATTGGAGGCTGTACCCGATGGTATTGCAGCTGGTCTTCTCACCTTCAGGCTGAGGAGCATTACCATTACTGGCAACTGTTGGCTGCACTGAGACCAGTAATGTAACTTCTTATACTGTATGGTGTGTGTTTTTTTTTGTTTCATACTTTAATCTGTGTTTTCCTTTTTTGTATATAATTGTTTTTGAATGATTTATTTATGATATCTTCAATGAACTGTTACATGATTAAAGTAAAATCCAGGCTTTACTTGGTCAGTAGGCTGATAGGTTATGTATGTAATCTAACTCTATTCTTGTGTTTCTCAGGACTATTAAGTGGTCAGACTACAACCAGTGGCAACAAATTGGAGAAGCTGGATTCACAGCAAGTCCTGAAACTTTGTTTACGGTATCAGGATCATCTACATCAGTGTGCAGAGGCAGTGGCTTTTGATCAAAATGCCCTTGTTAAGCGAATCAAAGAGGTAAGAGCAAGGAATGAGACCAGAGGACAAATAATATGTATCAAGTAAACTTCTGTAAGTAGCTCTGAGTGAGTTTCTTAAGTCTTTATTGTAAATATCAGAATAGAATAGGTCTTGCTGTTTCTCTTTAAGCTGACTTGGATTTTAGAATAACTTTAGTATACTTCTGTATTTTGTTAGTTTTCTAAGTGTTTCTTTTTTCTCTACAGTTTTGACTGTTCTACTTTTTGAGTTTTCTTTTACTAAAATCCAAACTTCTTGTAATTTGCCCACATATATTTGATTCAATCAGTAAATAGTTAACATCTGAGAAAAGGTACAGGAATTGGAAAATGTTTTACAAGATATATTGTGTGAATTACTATTCTACTTATCCAGTCAGAATGTTAAGCATTATCAATTCGGATATAATACAAGTGCGCTAAAGCTTTCTCCTACTATGCCCTGGTAATATTCCCTGGCCCAAATATCAGTAGTATAGTTCCTACTAAATATGTCTTTGCACTTTACACATTTGCAAACAGTATATGCCTTTCTTTGATAGTGAAGATTAAAAGGTGATTGAAATAATCAATACTTCTGATAGTGTCTTTGGAGAGTTAACCTTTTGAGTTGAGCAAGAGTCATGTCTGTCTGTGTAAATGAGGCCGTGTATGCTAGCCCTCCTGGGTAAGTTCTGATCAACATTTAGTAAAAGCCAGCTATTCAATATGCAACTGGGGGAGGCAATGGCCTAGTGGTATTATCACTGGACTGTTAATCGAGAGACCCAGATAACATTCCGGGGACCCAGGTTCAAATCCTGCCACGGCAGATGGTAGAATCTGGAATTAAGAATCTAATGATGACCATGAATCCATTGTCAATTGTCGTAAAAACCCATCAATATCCTTTAGGGAAGGAAACTGCCATCCTTGCCCGGTCTGACCTACATGTGACTCTAGACCCACAGCACTGTGGTTGACTGTTAATTGCCCAGAGGGCAGTTAGGGTTGGGCAATAAATGCTGCCTAGCCAGCGATGCCCTCATCCCATGAATGAATAAAAAAAAAAGCTCCTTCTAAAAATCCAGCCACCTGTTCTCTGTTCCTACTTGCAAGGTCAGCTTTCCCTTCTGTGGTCCCTTTCGAACGTACCACCCTCTAATTTCCATTCGCCTTTTCACGGCCCTGCTGCATATGCTTTTCAATGGAGTCAGAGTCAGTCATATAGCATGAAACAGATCCTTTAGTCCAACTCGTCCATGCTGACCAGACATTCCAATCTGACCTAGTCCTATTTGCCAGCATTTGGCCTATATCCTTCGAAAACATTCCTATTCATATACCCATCCAGATGCCTTTTAAATATTGTGACTGTACACCCCTCCAACACTTGCTTTGGCAGCTTGTTCCATATATGCACCACCCTCTGCGTGGAAAAAGTTACCCTTCAGATCCTTTTTAAATCTTTCCCCTCTCACTTAAATCTATGCCCTCTAGCTCTCTTTTATATACTGTTCGTTGTGGTGACAGCTCCATAACTACAAGAAGCAGCTTAAAAATAAGATGCTGAAAGATAAAAGGAAGAAGTAAGGCAGCAAGGGAAAGATGAAGCAAAGTGAGAGAAAACAAAAAAATGGACAAGAATGGAGGAAACAAAAGGAAAGAGGTAGAAGCGTAAGGTTTAAAACAAAACACCAACTTATGACAAATCTCATCGGGTTCAAAATTCAGGAGAGAACCAAGTTGAATAATTTGATGGAAAGTCAAGCTGAATTTAAAAGGGAATGGAAAAACTGCATCAGGAAATAAATGAGGCAAAGAGAGTTAATGGGAATAGATTAGTGGTTAGCATAAAAGGAAAACGAAAACACTCTCTTGGAAACATAAAAGGGTAATCAGAGGAAGAGTGAGCCTGACTAGGGACCACAAAGAAGATTATTTTATGAAGGCAGAGCATGTAGGCAAGATACGAAATGAGTACTTTGGCAGCATCCCCTTCTGTCATATACACAGATGTAATGTAGCAGTAAAGAGAGGATGGGAACAATATTGGAAAAAGTCAAAAGTGGATGAAGAGGTGGCACTTAAAGTCTGGCAGTACTCAATGCTGACGGATGATCTGGCCTAGGTGAAATGTGCTTACAAAGACCAACAGAGGGCAACAAACAAAGAAATAAGGAGAGAGAAGATTAAATATGAGGGTAAGCTAGCCAGTAATATAAATGAAGACTGTAAGAGTTTTAGATATACAAAGGCAAAAGAGAGGCAAAAGTAGACATTGGGCCACTGGAAAATGACACTTGAGAGATAGTAGTGGAGAATAAGGAAATGGCTGAGGAACTGAATAATTACTTCGCATCAGTCTTCACGGTGGAAGACACGAGCAATATCCCAAAAATTCAAGAGAGTCAGGGGGCAGAGCTGAGTATGGTGGCCATCACCAAGGAAAAGGTGCTGGTAAAACTGATTGGCCTGAAGGTGGATAAATCACCTGGACCAGATGGACTACACCCCAGAGTTCTAAAGGAGATAGCTGAAGAGATAATGGAGGTGTTAGTGGCGATCTTTCAGGAATCACTAGAACCAGGGAGGGTCCCAGAGGACTGGAAAATTGCTAACGTGACACTCCTGTTTAAAAAGGGAGTAAGGCAAAAGATGGAAAATTACAGGCCTGTTAGCCTAACCTCGGTTATGGGTAAGATTTTGGAGTCCATTGTGAAGGATGAGATTTCTGAATATTTGCAAGTGTATGGTAAAATAGGGCAAAGTCAGCATGGTTTCATCAAGGCAAGGGGCCTGACAAATCTGCTAGAATTCTTCGAGGAAATAAAGAGCAGGGTAGACCAAGGAGAGCCAATGGATGTTATTTACCTGGACTTCAAGAAGGCCTTTGACAAGGTGCCGCGCAGGAGGCTGCTGAGTAAGATAAGGGCCCATGGTGTTAGAGACAAGGTGCTAGCATGGATAGAAGATTGGCTGTCTGGCAGAAGGCAGGGAGTGGGGATAAAAGGGTCTTTTTCAGGATGGCAGCCAGTGACAAATGCTGTTCCACAAGGGTCAGTGTTGGGACCACAACTTTTCATTTTGTACATTAATGATCTAGATGAAGAAACTGTGGGCATTCTGGCTAAGTTTGCAGACGATACAAAGATAGGTAGAGGGACAGGTAGTATTGAGGAGGCGAGGAGACTGCAGAAGGATTTGGACAGATTAGGTGAGTGGGCAAAGAAGTAGCAGATGGAGTACAATGTAGGAAAGTGTGAGGTTATGCACTTTGGTAAGAAGAATAAAAGCATGGACTATTTTCTAAATGGGGAGAAAATTCAGAAGTCTGAAGTGCAAAGAGACTTGGGAGTTCTAGTCCAGGATTCTCTCAAGGTAAACTTGCAGGTTGAGTCAGTAGTCAGGAAGGCAAATGCAATGTTAGCATTTATTTTGAGAGGACTTGAATATAAAAGCAGGGATGTACTACTGAGGCTTTATAAGGCCCTAGTCAGGTCACATTTGGAGTATCATTTGCAGTTTTGGACCCCATATCTCAGGAAGGATGTACTGGCCCTGGAGCAGGTTCAAAGGAGGTTCACGAGAATGGTCCCAGGAATGAGAAGCTTAAAATATCAGGAACGTTTGAGGACTCTGGGACTATACTCATTGGAGTTTAGGATCTAATTGAAACTTATAGAATACTGAATGGCCTGGACAGAGTGGATGTTGGGAAGATGCTTCCATTGGTAGAAGAGTCTAGGACCTGAGGGCACAGCCTTAGAGTAAAGGGAAGACCTTTTAGAACAGAGATAAGGAGAAACTTCTTCAGCCAGAGAGTGGTGAATCTATGGAATTCACTGCCACAGAAGGCTGTGGAGGCCAGGTCATTGAGTACATTTAAGACCTAGATAGATAGATAGTTTCTTGATTATCAAGAGGATTAAGGATTATGGGGAGAAAGCAGAAGAATGGGGTTGAAGAACCTATCAGCCATGATTGAATGGCGAAGCAGACTCGATGGGCCGAATGGCCTAATTTCTGCTCCTATGTCTTATGGTCTTATCATTGCATTCTGAGGAAAGTTCTTGTTTGATTCTTGTTTAATTCCCATGTGGGCATGGCTGAAAAAGCCAGCATTTGTTGTCCAACCCTTGCTGTCTTTAAACGAAGTGGTTTGCTAGGATGTTTCAGAAGGCAGTTAAGAATCATCACTGTATATATGGAGCCCCATAGAGGCCAGACCAGTTAAGGTTACTAGATTTTCTTTCCTAAAGGACATTAGTGAACCAGATGGGATTTTGCAGCAAATAATGATTGTAATTATGGTTACCAGTCTAAGACTAGCTTTCAAGTCCAGATTTTATTAATTGAGTTTAAATTCCAGCAGTAGTTGTGGTGGAGTTGGAACTGTGTCCTAATCAAGTGATATATTACCACTACGCACTCATCTCACCATTGTAAGGGTGGAATGGAGGCTTTACCACAATTTTCCAATCATACTTGGATATAGAAGTTGTGCCAATGAGCTGGGCCAATTGCCAACGTCATGTCATGTCTTTCTTTTTTTAAAAAAGAAAGACTAAACTCAGCAGCTATATCTTAATATCTGTGGTGTGGACACTTTTAGAGGTTGTGATCTAAAATAAAATTAACTGGCACTTGGGAAAATGTGGGATAATGGATGAAACTAGGTGGATTTTTTAAGAAGAGTTCATGCTTGGATAATTTTATTTAGTTATTTAGAAATATTTGTGGAGGGTTAATGAGATTAGTGCATCAGTGCATGTGGATCTTCAGAAGATAAAGTAACCCTTTAATGGACTTGCTAATAGAACTGGATGGTAGTGCTTAAATGAATATGGAAAACAAAAAATAGCTAAGGGCTAGAAGGAGAATAGTGAGGAACCATTGTCTGTTCTGGAGATAATGTTAGGCTGTGACAACCCACAAGGATTGGGTATTTCACCCACTGATCGTTTTGAAGTTCATTAATGGCTTGGACTTGCATTTATAGGACATAATCTCAAAGGG